GATCGATCTGCGCCGCGCCTCTAGTCGAACACACCGGCTAGTGCTGCAGGCTTATTGCCTCACTGACGCTGATGAGATTAACCCCTTAGGTATCGAAATTTGGTACCGAACGACGAGACATTTTTCGATACTCGATGGTAAAAAAGTATCGAACTCGATACCCAGCCCTAGTGTGCACGAGAAACCATTAAACTTAGCAAGTAGGATGAAGCTGACGGAGTCACCTATTGCGCCATCAGCCCATTTCATGGTGTGGTTTCTTGGCCGCCACACAGTATGAGTTAAAGTAGACTTAAGGCCTTGAAATAAGACATACTGCCCTAAAGAGAGCCACATTTTGAACACTTTTTTTTTTACAGTACCAGTCTATTTTATAGACCTTTGAACTTGGCAAATAGGACAATGCACAAAGCCTTATTATGCCATCAGCCCATTTCGTGTCATGGTTTCTCCACTGTGTGTTAAAGTGGACATTAGGCCTTGATATTAGAGGAACTACCCTAAGGAAAGCCAGTTTCTGAGCAAATAGATCTCTATTAATTCATGTGCATCCATGCTCTCATTTTCTCCATAGTAAAATGTCTAGCAAAAGTCTGTTTTTTTTTTTAAGGAGCTCTGTATGTTGTCACTTCGAGAAAATCAATGAATAAACCCCTGAGAAAATAAAAATATTTACAGATGACCATACTACAGGTGCATCTCAATAAATTAGAATGTCATGGAAAAGTTCATTTCAGTAATTCAACTCAAATTGTGAAACTCGTGTATTAAATAAATTCAATGCACACAGACTGAAGTAGTTTAAGTCTTTGGTTCTTTTAATTGTGATGATTTTGGCTCACATTTAACAAAAACCCACCAATTCACTCTCAACAAATTAGAATACTTCATAAGACAAATAAAAAAAACATTTTTAGTGAATTATTGGCCTTCTGGAAAGTATGTTCATATACTGTACATGTACTCAATACTTGGTAGGGGCTCCTTTTGCTTTAATTACTACCTCAATTCGGCGTGGCATGGAGGTAATCAGTTTGTGGCACTGCTGAGGTGGCATGGAAGCCCAGGTTTCTTTGACAGTGGCCTTCAGCTCATCTGCATTTTTTGGTCTCTTGTTTCTCATTTTCCTCTTGACAATACCCCAGAGATTCTCTATGGGGTTCAGGTCTGGTGAGTTTGCTGGCCAGTCAAGCACACCAACACCATGGTCATTTAACCAACTTTTGGTGCTTTTGGCAGTGTGGGCAGGTACCAAATCCTGCTGGAAAATGAAATCAGCATCTTCAAAAAGCTGGCCCATCAGCCCATTTCATGGTGTGGTGTCTTGGCCGCCACACAGTATGAGTTAAAGTAGACTTAAGGCCTTGAAATAAGACATACTGCCCTAAAGAGAGCCACATTTTGAACACTTTTTTTTTTACAGTACCAGTCTATTTTATAGACCTTTGAACTTGGCAAATAGGACAATGCACAAAGCCTTATTATGCCATCAGCCCATTTCGTGTCATGGTTTCTCCACTGTGTGTTAAAGTGGACATTAGGCCTTGATATTAGAGGAACTACCCTAAGGAAAGCCAGTTTCTGAGCAAATAGATCTCTATTAATTCATGTGCATCCATGCTCTCATTTTCTCCATAGTAAAATGTCTAGCAAAAGTCTGTTTTTTTTTTTAAGGAGCTCTGTATGTTGTCACTTCGAGAAAATCAATGAATAAACCCCTGAGAAAATAAAAATATTTACAGATGACCATACTACAGGTGCATCTCAATAAATTAGAATGTCATGGAAAAGTTCATTTCAGTAATTCAACTCAAATTGTGAAACTCGTGTATTAAATAAATTCAATGCACACAGACTGAAGTAGTTTAAGTCTTTGGTTCTTTTAATTGTGGTGATTTTGGCTCACATTTAACAAAACCCCACCAATTCACTATCTCAACAAATTAGAATATGGTGACATGCCAATCAGCTAATCAACTCAAAACACCTGCAAAGGTTTCCTGAGCCTTCAAAATGGTCTCTCAGTTTGGTTCACTAGGCTACACAATCATGGGGAAGACTGCTGATCTGACAGTTGTCCAGAAGACAATCATTGACACCCTTCACAAGGAGGGTAAGCCACAAACATTCATTGCCAAAGAAGCTGGCTGTTCACAGAGTGCTGTATCCAAGCATGTTAACAGAAAGTTGAGTGGAAGGAAAAAGATGCACAACCAACCGAGAGAACCGCAGCCTTATGAGGATTGTCAAGCAAAATCGATTCAAGAATTTGAGTGAACTTCACAAGGAATGGACTGAGGCTGGGGTCAAGGCATCAAGAGCCACCACACACAGATGTGTCAAGGAATTTGGCTACAGTTGTCGTATTCCTCTTGTTAAGCTACTCCTGAACCACAGACAACGTCAGAGGCGTCTTACCTGGGCTAAGGAGAAGAAGAACTGGACTGTTGCCCAGTGGTCCAAAGTCCTTTTTTCAGATGAGAGCAAGTTTTGTATTTCATTTGGAAACCAAGGTCCTAGAGTCTGGAGGAAGGGTGGAGAAGCTCATAGCCCAAGTTGCTTGAAGTCCAGTGTTAAGTTTCCACAGTCTGTGATGATTTGGGGTGCAATGTCATCTGCTGGTGTTGGTCCGTTGTGTTTTTTGAAAACCAACGTCACTGCACCTGTTTACCAAGAAATTTTGGAGCACTTCATGCTTCTTTCTGCTGACCAGCTTTTTGAAGATTCTGATTTCATTTTCCAGCAGGATTTGGTACCTGCCCACACTGCCAAAAGCACCAAAAGTTGGTTAAATGACCATGGTGTTGGTGTGCTTGACTGGCCAGCAAACTCACCAGACCTGAACCCCATAGATAATCTATGGGGTATTGTCAAGAGGAAAATGAGAAACAAGAGACCAAAAAATGCAGATGAGCTGAAGGCCACTGTCAAAGAAACCTGGGCTTCCATATCACCTCAGCAGTGCCACAAACTGATCCCCTCCATGCCACGCCGAATTGAGGCAGTACTTAAAGCAAAAGGAGCCCCTACCAAGTATTGAGTACATGTACAGTAAATGAACATACTTTTCCAGAAGGCCAACAATTCACTAATTTTTTTTTTTTATTGGTCTTATGAAGTATTCTAATTTGTTGAGATAGTGAATTGGTGGGTTTTTGTTAAATGTGAGCCAAAATCATCACAATGAAAAGAACCAAAGACTTAAACTACTTCAGTCTGTGTGCATTCAATTTATTTAATACACGAGTTTCACAATTTGAGTTGAATTACTGAAATAAATTAACTTTTCCACGACATTTTAATTTATTGAGATGCACCTGTATATACCAAATATAAATCTTAAAATAATGCTCCTTTTGTTAAATATGGTTTGAAGATCTACTGAGAGGTTTGGAAATTTGAGTCTGGAAAAGTATGGATTTTGAAATGGGAAATTTGTAGGAACCCTGGTGCTGACCTCATCAACAGCAGTATGTAGATATTAGCAATAATGCAGAGTGATTGGTTAAGCAGGTTTAAACGAGCAGAAGTGAATCGGCTGAGATCTGGAGTGTAACGTGTGGTTTCTCCTCTCAGATCCAGCTTCCAGAGCTGGACACGGCCCAATCTTCACGACTGCGAGCATTCGTCGACTGGCTGAGAGAACGCCGGCCGTTCCACGCCGTCCTGCACGTCATCAGGTCAGAGATAATGAACACAGTGCATGTTCTCCTCCAGACAGCGAGCAGAGATGAATCCGTCTCAGTCTGACCTTGTTCACCTGTTAATGTCAATATCAAATGCAAAATATCTGTCATGGAGAAATATGGCACTCAAACCGCCAGTAGGTGGCGGCAGATCCCTGTCGTAACGAGTGATTCATTTCATGATTCTGTCAGTGATTCATTCAAAGCAGCTGATTCATTTAGAAACAAAGCAAGTGACTGTCTTTATTAAGGCTGCCCCCTAATAGTCGACTAACCGTTAGTCGACCAGAATTTTATTAGTCGCAGAAAAAATAAATAAAAATCCACATTGGCAGTGACAGATTGTTAACGGCTAGTCTATGTGGTAGGCTAATACAGTACTCAGGCAGGACATCCAAACACTCACCTATCATACATTGACCTCAAATATGACTTATCTGAAATATGTAAGTATTAGCAACTTTACATGACCGCTCAATCTAATGTTAACCCAGAGAAATGTGCGCTGTTCAAGCGTCTGTGTGGAGTGAGAAGCTGAAGAGTAGATCACTGCAGGACAGATGGAGGCGCCGGTGCGCTCACTTGCTCTTAAAATACTCCCTCATTTGTGCTCATACAGATAAGAGTAATACATCTTTCAAATCTGTAAAGACTACGTTTATTTGTGTGCACTCACAATAAATACAAAACGTTGCGCTTTTGTAAAATAATGAAAGCAAACAGGATGTGCTTTCTGCCGTCTTGGTCTCTGTGAACTTGAGCGCAAAACTCCCAAACTCTGTGTATGCTTGCCTTAGAGACATAAAAAATATATCTATAGAGAGTTAAAAGTGTTCTTTCAAATAAACCAATTCAAATGGAAAACAAATATTCTCAGATTATGTAATCCGTATGAAACAAGCATACAGGCGCATCACTACTGCGGAGATGACGAGTCAGTGTCGCCGGCTTCATCTCTTAAACCAAGAACAAAGAAAGCACCAGTTTATCAATGAATTATTAAAATGTTAATGCAGCCTCCTTACTGTTTTTCCCTGACACATTCATAATCATTACTTCTTCCGGTGCGTTTGAGTGCTCATCATGCTATGTACTGTAGGCAATTAAAGGCTCATTATTATGATTTAAATGATTTATTAATAAACGTGCGATTAGTCGAATAATGCTTAAAATGAACGACTACTAGTCGACCAGACAAATCTTTAGTCGAGGGCAGCCCTAGTCTTTATGAATGAGTCACTGAAACATTGTCTCAAGATATTCATTCAAAAACAGATTCACTCCAGATCGAAACACCGCTGTGTTGTTCTGAGATGCACAAATATATATTTTTTCTTTCATTACTTGAATTATCAGCTCCTTTTAACTGCATTCTAATAGACTTCTTCATGCAGTCCAATGCTTTTGGACTCTCAAGACGTGTTTTCATTTGTTTTTTGCAAAGTGAGTGACATACTCAATAATGTCAGCTCACATATAATGATGTAATGATATTATCCTAGACTATAAATATCACACACCCCTATACCTTACATGATTTCTTTTAATGGAAGGTTTTGAGAAATCAATTCTAATTAATTGGATAACTATATGACCGAGTTTTGCTGATGATCCAGAGCTGTTTTTCTGTCTGAATGACTGAAGAGAGTCTGACGCTTCTCTTGATTTCAGAGACGAGTCTCCGCTCAAGACTGAGTTCATGCAGAACATGATCGAGGATCTCAGTGAATCCGCTCTCTCCTACTACGAGTTCCTCCTGCACCTGCAGCAGCAGATCTCCAAGTGATCCCACAATGCCCGGCTGGAGCCAGACGCAGACCTGCTGTCAATAAAGTCCCGTCTGTGTCACACTACAGCTGTTTGTGAGGAGTGATGCTTGAGTCTGTAGCGCAGACACACGGGTGACGTCACATGAGCGCAGATCCTTTCAAATTTATCGCCTTTTACTAAAAAACAAAAATGTAGGAAAATGGTTTCTTATGAATTTCTTACGACCTTTATAATAAGTGCTTCTGACGCTTCTCTTGATTTCAGAGACGAGTCTCCGCTCAAGACTGAGTTCATGCAGAACATGATCGAGGATCTCAGTGAATCCGCTCTCTCCTACTACGAGTTCCTCCTGCACCTGCAGCAGCAGATCTCCAAGTGATCCCACAATGCCCGGCTGGAGCCAGACGCAGACCTGCTGTCAATAAAGTCCCGTCTGTGTCACACTACAGCTGTTTGTGAGGAGTGATGCTTGAGTCTGTAGCGCAGACACACGGGTGACGTCACATGAGCGCAGATCCTTTCTAATTTATCGCCTTTTACTAAAAAACAAAAATGTAGGAAAATGGTTTCTTATGAATTTCTTACAACCTTTATAATAAGTGCTATTCAGAGTTAGCGCTTTATATTTAGTGTGGTTATTGTCACAGGTTTATCTGTTCGATCTTCAGGTTTGTCTGTATTCGTCAGTCATTGTTTTAATTGATGAGGAAGGTAATGCAGTTGAATTCAATATCTGCCTTAAGTGGGACTCAAGCAAATGTTCTGAAGAAATGCTTTGTAAGGATGTGACGTTTAACACGGGCAAATTCAGACACTCGACCCTGTGATCTTTACACATTATAAACCTATATTATATTCAAAAGATTGTTAATTTTAGTAAAAACATTATTCAGATGATGCAAGATGATAAAACAAACTGCTTGGGACTTTAATATTATTATTTGTTCCATGAAGAGAGATTTTTAAGAACTGGCTAAACCTATGAAAGCTTTAGGTGAAGTGATCAGCTACAGAGACATGTAGGAAGCTATGTGCTTAAAGCTTGAAATATAATCCAAAATACTGAATAAATACAGAGATTTCTCTGCCACTAATAGAGATTTATATTAAATGGCTGGTTGTGAATGGAGAACTGATGAAGGGAGGAGTAACACAATAATCTGAGCAATCTTCAGTCTTGATTCTGTTCGCAGAATTTTCTTGCATAATCAAATCCAACATTCAGAGGGATATTTTTTTATATTTAAAAAAATCCTTGTTTCCTCTGCGGTTGTTCAGTTCATTTTAGCACACATGACAACTGTGTTTTTGAGAAATAATTTGTAAATTCTCTGCAATTTTGTACATGTGAACTTTATAAATGAATGATTATTCATTAAAGAGGAAATGTCGTGTGAGCTCTGCTGAATATCTCCACTTTTTCCACAGTTACTTTGGCGTTTATGCGCTCATGTTCTCTCATTCAGTGCTGAACTAGACCGGACCAGACCAACAACATCAGCAAACATGTTATTCCCCTCCATAATGACTTGATAAAGAGCAGCTTTATTGAAGCGTTGGGTGTTTGCACGAGTGTTAATAAAGACTGGGTTCCAGGATTTATTGCTGCTGCTCTCTACAGCAGCCCATTCAAACAGATGAGTTTGGAATGCAACTTCAGAAAGAAGGGTTAGGATCGCATCATATGACCCCTTTAAAGCAGTTTAACATAAGGCTGCAACATAACAAAATGTGAAAAAATGAAGGGGTTTGAATACTTTCACAAGGCACTGTATATGCATATGCACATATATAGTGCTGGGCAGTAACTGATTACATTTTACAATCTTAATTAGATTCCAAAAAGTAAGTACTTGTAATTCGATTATATTACATTTTAAAATACCTGTAAACAGACTACAGTTACGTTTTATTGGTTACATGATTATTCACGATCACATGACTTGCAGGAAAACAGATATAACATTTCATATCTTTATTTGATTGTTGTCATTTTAAAAATATTTTAATTTTACATTTTTATGATTTAATTATTAGCTTTTCATTAAACTCACAACCCCCCTGCAGTTCCTTCATGAACTCCAGTTTGGGAAACTTTTATATAATGTAATGTTTAATGCACTTCAAAAGCAACAAATAGAACATATTTATATATTTTCATTCTCTCTGTATGTTTATATCAATATGGTACAAGATTGTCCTATTTAAATTAATGTGATAAATGAGCCAAAAGTAATCAACAAGTAGTCTGATTATGTAATGGATTACGTTACTAACTACTGCCATTTTTGTCATGTAATTTGTAATCAGTAACGGACTACAATTTTTAAGTAATCTGCCCAGCACTACACACACACACTTTTGCAAACATCACGACGATGAGATCGGACTTTTATTTTGAAACTGTGTCGTCATCCATAAGGGACACATTATGTGAGGCTCCGCCCCATCAATAATAACAGATTGACACAGAGAGACAGCAGCTGCTGACAGATATTCTGATATTCTTCAGTGATCGGAGTAATGGAGGCGAGCGAGGAGGCAGAGAGCGCGGCGCAGCAGCAGAATAACGCGGCGCAGAGACGCGCGGAGATCCGCAGGAGGAAGTTACTGCTGAACTCCGAGCAGCGCATGAAGAAGATCGTGGGCTTCAGTCAGAGCGACGCGGACAGCGGTGAGTCTCTCGGAGGAAAGCAGCGGACTCCACTCTGATTCAGATTCACAGCTGCATGAACAAACAGCGTCCCTCATATGATTCATATCATGTACAGTGGCCCCAAAACCGACTACACCTGATGGTCCAGAATCACTTGATCAATCACCATTCACTTACATTAGATTCGTCACATAGAAATACTGCATCTGTATTCTAATGTAATGTTTCTTAGTGTACCTATTACAGTGCTCAAAACTGTTTTATACCAGGGTAAAATGAGTTTGTTAATCAGATTTCGAGAAGCGTAGCATTGCATCAGTGTCTCAGCAATGGATGCTCTGCAGTGAATGGGTGCCGTCAGAATGAGAGTCCAAACAGCTGATAAAAACATCACAATAATCCACAAGTAATCCACAGCACTCCAGTCCATCAGTTAACATCTGGAGAAGACAAAAGCTGAAACAAATCCAGCATTAAGACGTTTTTAACTCAAACACGAGTCCATAATCCATAATAAAGCTTCCTCCAGTGAAAAAGTGTTCTGGTCTGAATCAGGAGAGAAATCAAGCACCATTTAAACAGCTCTAAACAAATATGTGGCTGGATTTTGATGTGAGAGACAACAGCAGATGCACTTTTTCACTGGAGGAAGAGTTATTATGGATTATGGACTCTATGGTATTTTAGTTAAA